GTTTGAACAACCATAATTTTAGGATTTTTTGCCCCTTGAAAAATACAGGCCACCGCCTCTGACCACTTTAAATATTTGGATGGCCAAGTTAGAAAGAAATATAGCTTGCTAAAAGTGGTATTTATATAATCTTTTGTTAATTGGCTGCATAGTCTAGACCTGTGGTAGACTTCATTTGAGATCATAATTAAAAACACTTGTAAACATTTCACGTAAATATAACCAAAACTCTTTTCATATACTTACATCTTATTATATAAATTACAATTAAAAAACTGATTATAAATTATTCCAAACACACAAAATACTGAAATAGGATGCTGCAAATTAATCATAGGCGTGATTAAGAATGACACGAGTAATAATTTATATATTTTCTCTTTGGTCTGTAGAAAACAGAGGCATTAATTAAAACTTGATAGATCATTATTTTATCTATCTTCTAAAGGTATCACTCTCTAGATATAGCCTTCCCAGTTATCATAACATAATCAACTATACAATACACCCCAAAAAAAAAAATGTAGTGGAAACAAGCTCTCAACTGAAACATAAAAGGCAAAGTGAAGCTAGGGGGCAGCTTAAAAACTATATCCATTCCTTTGGGTTGATGCAAGCATCTAAAAGCTTCCATTCCTCGCTTCCTTCCTCAGGTTTCTGCACACAAGATGACACGGCACCACCATTTAAGCAAGAGCCTCCAAATATCAAACTAATATTTAATGATCCCACAAAGAATTCCAAAAACTTACATGATCATATTCCCACCGAGCAGTTAGTGGAAGAGAAACAAGAATACTCTCTATCCTCCCTCCTGTTTTTAGTCCAAATGTTGTGCCCCGATCATAAACCTGGCATTGATAATTGAGAACAAGATGGTTATGTCTAGTTGAAAAATAAAGAACAGAACGATACATTTATCATCCCCGAGCTGAGTTTGATACCAAATTAAATTCAACATATCGTCCCCTCCGCAATTGTTGCCATGCTTTGTGCTGGTCTGTAAAAGCCGTATCCTTCCTTTTCTCTACTATGGGTATGTAAGCAGGAATGACAGAATTGGCACATTCTGCACCATGGTTTAGGGAAGCATGAGATTAAAAGTCAGATGTCTGACTAATGAGAAGCATCAATTTATAAATGCGATAACGCTAGAAATCAAATTACCAGTGGCAAAGGAGAGTAGCATCTCCTGATCATAGTCATTCAGATCATCAAAAAATATTCCTCCAAGCCCTCTCCTCTCATTCCGATGCTGAATGCAGCATAAACACCAGAAAAAGGTAAACAGTCACAAAAAGTATTAGCCACACTTATAATTGAAAAACCAAACTAGTCATAGAGAATCCATCACAACCTTCTGAAAGAGCAAACAGGCATCCATCTCAATAATCTCAATTATGTAATTTTGAGAACTTGATGACAAAAATATAAGAAACTACGTTAAGTTTTTACCATAATTAAAAACCTTGAAACCGACATCAAAAATAGTAATACGGACCTATTTTATAACTCCGATCAACATTGATGTAAAAGTTTTTTTTAGCAATTAATTATCATTAGTGCTCTTTATTATTCTTATTGCAGTAATATTTCTGTAGCATGCTTATAAGCCAAATTCGGCCCTGGATTGAGAAAAGGAAAAACAAAAGAGAACAAAGGACGTGAATTCTTATTGCTGATAGCATTCAGCAAATGATATAACCAAATTTCACTGTGACCAAATTTCACTGAAAACCACTAATTTCATTCATCGGCTAACCATCACTTCTAATCATTTTCTTCATGCAGCTACAACAAAGACAACCACCACCATTCATCTACATGACCCTGACCAACCTGACCAGGTACCACAAACAGCCATTTTACCACAACCACCAACTCTATTAGAATTTGTCTTTCATCATCATTTGTCTCCTCAACAATCAACCACCATGAGAGTTTGCCATCAACCTAGACATGAGTATCACTGCTCCACAACCGCTTATTTAGTTCTACAATCCCTCCTTCATCTTAACACACCCTGTTCCACCATTGCCAATGCAGTTAAGCATGAATATTATCCTGCTAATACCAATCCCCCCTTGTCCCCTAACTTCTATGATTCATTATCAACCCCATTGACTTCATTAAGCAGTAACTGCATCACCAAACAGTTTCTAGAGGATATATGAAGTTTTCCAAACTCTGAGATAGTATACAGACTAGATTAACCATGCCGTATGTAATCCTTTTCTAAAAGCTAAGTACTTGATTGCTGGTGTTAACTTTCTGACCATTAAACAGGATGTGTGACTATGAAGCAGGAACAAATACGACACTAAAAGCTAGAATCTGAATAAAAAGATTATGGAATTTTACCTTGATATAGAAGTAATCATCACACCATTTCTTGAATCGAGGATAGAATGTAGGATCAAACTTGTCACATGCACGTTTTTGAATCTACAATAAAAGCAGGACAGAGGTATGCTAAGTGAAAGATTAGCTTTTTATTGCATTGAAAGACTAAAAATAGCAAATCACAACATACAAGTTTCCAAAACAAATTATATAAGTCTCAAAAACATTTAACGAGTGATTTCTATTCCCATGTTTTCAATAACAAAGATAAAATAAATATATAGATGACTTGTTTGCAGAAATGTTAGACAGAAACATTTTTTTCGATATAACCCCAGAAATTAAACCCTGTGTTGGACATTTCACCTCCTCTCATTTAAGAGAATCGAAGCTAATAAACTAAATGCTAAGATAAAAATTCAGATGGGCCATAAAAATACAATAATAGATTCAAATTGCTCATTTAAGAACAAAGACGCCAAGGAGAAGCTATTTACACACACAGAGTCAAAAACCAATAGTGAGTGTGCTGAACACATACCGAATGGAAATGCTTGACATCCTCCTCAAAAATGTAAGAAGGAGTCAAGTCAGTCCCACCACCAAACCACCATTGTCTCGGTGCTCCAGGAGCATCTGCAACAGGATGCGACAGTATGAACATCAGTGAGACCTAAATTTAGCAGCAGTTCCATGGACACATGACATTTGCATGCACAAACTTGGAGACTCCATCAAATTGAAAATTTTCTTCTTTAAATTTTTGGTCAATCATGGGAACTATCAAACAAGACATTTCTGATGCTGATAGACATAATATATATGGGATACAGAGAGAAGGAATTTGAGGATTTTCAGATGTTAATTGAAGATTCTTCATTCCCTTCTCCTCATTATAACAAACTCCCAGAAAATAGGAAAATTGCAATGAATGACTATATGGAGAACCCTTGCTTTTATCTTTCCTCCTAACTTATAGTGAGAGAAATGGGGCATGGTTAGCCACACGCCAGGGGAGAACCAGAGGGACCTAGATGTACCACTTTTCAGGTTGAGTTAGTCAATCATACAAAGAGGATAGTCAATTTACACTGGACACTTCTAAAATGTGTTGCTGCAACAACTAGTATCTCTCCAAGTCAATTTTTTTCCCAGAGAATAGAAACATAAAGGGAAAGAAAGGAAAATGTGTTTTGGAAGCCACATGTTTCCCAGTGGCTATAGTACAAGCGTGAATGCATGCAAAAAGCTATGACCAAGTTAACGACACACAGTTAATCTAGTTTCTTAACCAATGTTAAGGTATTGGAAAATGAAACTGGAAAAAGAAAAAAGGAGCCAGAACATACCTTTGGGGGCATCAGTTTCAAAATACCGATAATTGAAATGCACCGTTGGGGCAAATGGGTTCTTTGGGTGTAAAACCTGAATAGGAAATAATACACGGACAAAGAGCGGACTTATCAGACAAAAATCTAAGTTAACTCTGAGATCCAATAACAGAGAAAAACAATCCGCATCCATTGTAAAAATGTGATTTAAAAAGCACATTGCATGCAAGCATTTGCCACAATTAGGATTTAGGGTTTATAAAATGTCAATTAAAAGCGTCCATCAATCGAATTCAAACTCACCGAGCTGATTCCAGCCGCAAAAAAAGGAACTGGACCGGGCTTCTGATCGGTGGGAGCAGCTTTGGCAGCACGATAAGCCTCAGGCGGCATCACACCATAAACAACAGACACATTAACGCCAGCCTTCTCAAAAACAGCTCCGTCTTGAAGAACCCTACTGATTCCCCCGCCACCACCAGGCCTAGACCAAACATCCTCCTTAAACTGGGCTCCGCCATCGACAGCTTCAAGTGCACTACACACGCTGTCCTGAACCTCCCTTATCATCTTCTCAAAGCGAGCCCTGACAGAAGAAGAGGAAGAAGCAGCGTGATCATGACCATCAGATTCTCTGAGAAAAGTTTGTGGGCGTTCAGATTCAGGCGTCTCTTTCTCCATGAAAATAGCGGCTCTTACCACTACTCCGACTCCACTGGGTGATCTCAGAGAAGAAGGCACAGCTTTCGTTAGACTTCGAGGTTTCAATCTCTGAGAAGAGGGAAATGCGGAGGAAGAAGTGAAGCGTATGGGAGAGAAGACGGAGTGACCCGAAGGAACAATGCAGGTAGAGGGCATTGCGATTGAGAGGGAATGGAATTGGATTGCAGAGTTGGAGAAGAAGAAGGGTGATTGACAGACGAGTTACAGGAAAGGACAATGGGAGATAAAGAGACTTGAATCACGATAAGGTGGAAGGGCGTATATGTATATATATTATATAAAGGCAAAATAAATTTCATTTGACCAAATAAAAACTGTGTGTTTTTTTCTAGCAGCGGCAGCGGTTTTTGATTCTTCGGACAAAGCTGGGTAAAATAACTTTTTTAAATAAAATATATTTTTAATTATTTTAATGAACCTTTTCAGTAATAAAAAGGATATAAGTATATAACGCAATTGTAATTCCAAGAATTCTTTAAAAAATATTTGGCCAAAATATTTAAACGAATAACCCAAAAACGGTGGGACTAGCTAGTTACAATACCAACTCCTTAATTATAATATTAATCGAGGCACCCACGGAATTTTCTTCATATATGCACCTCACCTCTTAAGCTTCAAAAGGGCAGAAGATGTTTCACACCTTCAAAATACAAACATGTATATATAATATTTATAATTGAAACATTTTTATGTTACTCTCATTTGAAAATGTATAGAGTAATTTTTTCCAATTTCTACAAATTAGTTATTTAATTTTTATATTTAAGACTTGTGAAAATATTACAACAAAAATATATTCGTTTTTTATTACTCTATTTTTTCTCACGTCTCTCTAAGTAGATATTTTATATATATATATATATGTATATATTTAATAAATACAAAGATTTACACAATACAAAATATGTGATAACTAATTATGTGCTTGAAGACTAAATATCATGCAACAAAAATATATCAAGAAAAACGGAACTTCGAATGCTATACACAAAATTCTACAACACATATATTTAATCTTCCAAAAAAGATATGTTGGAGAAACCACCTTCAAAAACTCTCAAAAGTTTAGAAAGCTAGCTGAAAATCTTCAATTATATCCTCCACTGCTACTTAATTAGCAGTGAGTAGTGACTGGTGTACATGGGAAAAGATACAGCAAAACCTTCCCTTCTACTGAACGAAGAATTTTATGTTCAAATCCCTTACCCAGAAATAATGTTACTCCTCCGGTCCTAATTATAAGACCCAATTGACTTATTTGAGGAGATTAAGGAAGTAAGTTAAGTTGGTTATTTATAATAAATAAGTGTTGTTATTCTTAAAATATCTTTGCTAATTAAGTATATTGGCTAAAACTATCATTATTAGAAGGATTATCTTGGAAAAAAATACATAAATATAAGAGAGAAAATGGATTGGGTCTTATAATTAGGACCAAATAAAAAGTCAAATTGGGTCTTATAATAAGGACCGGAGGAGTACTTCTTATCTGTATTTGCATCCTTCCCTTCTGGTACCTCCTGCTCTTTAACAATAACCAAACGCTTGGTGAAAACATAGCCGTCTTTCACACCAGACTCGGATGATCTGTAATAGTTTCCGATCGTTTCAGTCTTTTCAAACCCAAATTTCTTGTAAAAATTTATGGCATCTCCATTGTCTGCCACCACATGCAAGTAAACCTCGGATATGTTCTCCTTGGACGACAAGTCAAGAACATGATTCATTAATCTTGTTCCTGCATTATTCCCAATATTCAAACGAATCATATCAGAACCAGCCAGGGATATCAACGAACGCTTCAAAATTCATGGTGATGAATGAAGTTATTGTGTGTTCAAGTGTTTTCTTATAAAACCATACACCAATCATCTGCTTTTAGAAGCACCGTATTTTGACAAGTGTAAGAAGACTAAGAACACAATTCAACTAACAAATGTGAATTGGATCATCAGTAATTATGTAGCTGTGTATTTGCCTTTTTGGAGAGAAAAGAACGTAATACACGTATGGCTCTGTACAGGATCAACTTCTTTTCTTCACATAACTTTCTTTATTGATTTCTTTATGGATGTCATATATTCGCACCGCTTCAGTGACCACAGATGATCCAAAATCGTAACAAAATTCTGCTAGGAAAAGAGTTCTAAGTTCTTACTTACCAATACCAAGGCGGCGATAAGGTGCTAAGACGCCTAAAGTCATGATGTAGACCCTGACTGCACCATCTTCCTTTTTCTCACACCGGCATGCGATTGCACCAACACAAGTATAATTGTGATAAGCTGAAGAAACAAGCATGGCAATAACTACTTTATAAATGTGCCTTCTAGATGAGTGTAACGAAGGATCAGTATGAATAGGGATTTTGGACACATGAAAGAAGCGCAGAACTGTAGTGTACCAAAAAGTATGAGACATTAGGCATCACATGACGGTAGAGAGGACAATAAGCGACTTGCAGAAACATTTGAATGCCCTCATGTCAGGAGAAAGCAAACTTCAGTCTTCATGAAACGTTCCATCACATGAATGTGACTTAAATGGATGGCTACCCACAAAAAAGAAAAGAAGAAAGGGGAAAAAAAAAAAAACACAGCATGTATGTCGTCTGAATTTCTTATAGGCTGCACCAAGGAAAGAGTACAAAGAAAGAACAAAAATAAGTGTGCAAAAGACATCCTGCGTTGTTTATATCGAAGGTCATAAACAATTCATACTGTAATCTAAGCAAGAATTAAAGTGCAAGCATAAACACCTCTAACGGAATAATGAAGATATACAAATATACGCAGCCAAACCAATAGTTTCAAAGAGGAAAAAAAAAACACAAAGAAGGAACTTCTTATGATATAGCATAATAAAAGCAAAACGATTAAATGAAATAAAGAATGAAGTTAGTTGTTTGAAAGACTAATGAGAAAATGCAATAATAACCTAGAGGGACAAGGAAGATCATTGAGCCTTCAGAAACAAGATGAAAATGTAGAGATTAAAAAGAAGGGTACAGGGTGTTACAGAAGTTAACCCTTAAGAAATTAGAGCTGTGAAAAAATCGAATGGCAATAGAATGGTTGATTTTAAACCAGTCGAAAGCAGAGGACTGAACCTAGTTTTGTTAGTTCGCCAGAAGCAAGGGCATCGGCATAGTATCGGTCGCTGTATTGACGAGAGAAAATATCATCATTCAGCTTCTTCAGCTGAGTCAGATTATCATCTATTAGCCTAACGAGATAGATTGAGATTTCTTGGCCAAGCAACATTCTGGAAAAGAACGATAAGAATGTCAGAAAACAAAATTAACACCACATACATTTCGTGTAATAAAGGAACACTCTTCCCTTGTCCCCAAAGAAAGCCCCCATTCACTCGCTACTGATAAAACGAACGCACATTCTTTCATCATTATTCACATTTGATTCGCTCCTAACATCGCAAGATTAAAGCAACCCGAGTATACGATGGTCGATATACTTCAAGTCCCAGAAAAATAAAACATAACAAGAGAGAATGCAAGACTTAAACGCTATGGGAAGAAAATCGATGAGACAAGCAGACCGAAGGAGGCAAAATTTACCTGAGAAAAGTGGAGCCAAAAGAAGAAAGAAAGAAAAGTAGCCTGATAGGCGGCTCTGCTTCTTTGATAGCAACGGATCACAGATTTGCAATGGCGGGTAGACGAGAAGTAGGTAATCGAAACTTTACATGGCGGTTATGGGCGTCGCGAATCGTAGTTAAATGACTTTTTTTTTCCCGCTTTTCTTAAGGGGAAAATGTAAACACCCCCCCCCCCAAAAAAACCAAAACAAACTAACAAACAAACGGTGATCAAGTTGACGGGGATGAGATTATCTTATTTGATTTTTATTTTGATTTTAAATATAAGATCTCAATTCACTTTATCTATCATATTTATATATTTTTTTCTAAGATAGTCCTTCTAACAATAATAGTTCTAATTAATACACTTGATTAGTAAGAATATTTTAGAAAAAACGACACCTATTTATTACAAATAACTAACTTAATTTCTTTATTTAATCTCCTCAAATTAGTCAACTAGCTCTTATAATTAAGATCGGAGGTAGTATTTCTTTTATGATTAGTTAAAGAAATTGGTTACAACATAATTTTTTTAAAATTAAGACATGAGTCTTGTAATATTTCACAGTTAAGGGCTCGTTAGTCTTTGACCAGAAAAAAGGATCGTTAGTCATAATTTATACAAAGATTAATTTATTTAATACTATATTAAAAATTTATTATTGTATGGATTTTTTTTTTCCAACCAAGGGCAAAAATCTTGATGCTATTAGTACAGTGACTAGAATGATGCCAATTTAATGAAAACAAATACGTGGATGATTTTTTACAATAAAATTTAGGTTCATTTGTTTATATCTATACTAGGTTCTATTTTTCTATCAAATCTTACTATGTCTGATTTTTATTATTAATATTAGTCCAAAAAAATTGAAATTTTATTACTGTGAATCTTTATTATTAAGAAATAAAGTTTGCATGGCAAAATTTGATTTAAGAATTCAACCTCATCAATATAAGCAAATGAACATGAAGTTTCAAAATTGTGCAAAAATATCATGATAAAAAAAGATAATGGAAATTACATAATCCCAAATCAGGTATTTTTATAAAAATTTGTTATTATTTCAAGTCAGGTATTGTTAAAATCTGTTAAAATGATTTAGGATTTAGCTCCAAATCTTTATTTTCCATTGTCCCAAATATCATAATCGTTAAGTCAATAAACATTATAGTTTAGCAAATACTACCTCCAGTTTTTAATATAAGAGTTAATTTGACTTTAAATTTGATTCTAAATATAAGAACCCAATTCACTTTGTCTTTATCCATTTTTTACAAAATAGTCATTATAATAGTTGCACATATTAAAAATTTTATCAAATGGTAATTTTAATTAATACATATCATTAGTAAAGGTATTAAAAAAAAAGACAGCACCTATTTTTTATAAATTCATAACTTATCAAATTTTCTTAATCAACTTATATTAGTCAATTTGTCTTATATTAAGGATTAAAGGTAATGTGTCAATCAATAAAACAGTACGCAAGTATATATGAAGAACTTAAGTTTCTTTTGTAATTAGCACTTGTTACGATTTGGATCATCTGTAATCATGAAAGTGGTGGGAATATATATTACAAGGGTGTTTGGCAACCCTCAAAAGTCCTTCTCAGAATCATTTTTTCGTAAAACGAGACAAACTGTTCTACATATTTATTTCGTAAACCGTAAAAATATTTTTGAAACCATGGTTTGGTTTCCATCCAAATATTTATGGCAAAATCCATAAAGAAAGTTAAGTGCAAAGAAAAGAAGTTGATATCCCGTACAGCCTTCATTGTTGTTGTTCTTTTTTCTCAAGTGGACAAATGCTCAGCTACATAATTGCTAAAGATCCTCAATATATAATTCACATTTGTTAGCTGAATTGTGTTCTTAGTGTGCAAGCATACTTGTCAGAATACAGCCCTTCTAAAAACAGATGATTGGTGTATGGTGTGAGAAAAACATTTGAACGCACATTTAACTTTATTAATTAATCACCATTAATTTTTAAGTGTCTCTTGATGTTGAGGCGTGTGCAGAACAAGGCTGACGAATCATGCTCTTGATTTGTCCTCCGAGGAGAACATGTGTGAGGTTTACTTGCATGTGGCCACGGACAATGACGAAGATGCCATAAATATAATGAATTTGGGTTTGAAGCGATGGAAAGGATGTCAAACTATTATAGGAACGCCATTGTTTGTTACTACCGGTTCTTGATATAAGAATTAATTTGATTTTTCTTTTAGTCATAAATATAAGACCCTGATCTATTTTATCTTTTATATTTATTTATTTTTTTCTAAGATAGTTCTTGTAATAATAGTAGTTATAACTAATACACTTAATTAGTAAAGATATTTTAGAAAAAATAATATTTATTTATTACAAATAACTAACTTAACTAATTTTTTTTAATCTATTCAAATTAGTTAACCAGCTCTTATATTAAATATTAGAGATAATATAATAGACTGCAGCTATGTTCTAACTAAGCGTTTGGCTGTTACGATCAAGCTGGCAGCTTCAGGAGATGGTAGATGTTAAAAACCTTTCCCACGTCCTGCCTCCTGTGCTTATAACTTGACATTTAATCTGATTTTAAATATAAGACTTCAATTCACTTTCTCTTTAATATTTAATTATTTATCTATTTTGCCTGTGTATATGTTAAAAAGTTACTATCAATAGCTAATTCAAACATATACATTATTAATAACAGTATACTACCACCGGTCCTAATTATAAGAGTTAGTTGGCTAATTTGAGAAGATTAAGAAAATAAGTTAAATTAGTTATTTGTAATAAATAGGTATTGTCTTTCCTAAAATATCGTTACTAATTAAGTGTGTTAGAAAGGCCATCTTAGGAAAAAAAATGTATAAATATTAGAAACAAAGTGGATTGGAGTCTTATATTTATGATCAAAATAAAAGTCAAATAAGGTCTTATATTAAATACCGAAGGTGGTATTAAAAAAGACAACATCTATTTAATACAAATAACTAATTTATTAATTAACTTTTCTAGTCTTCTCAAATTCTCTTATACTAACTATGGTCCTAATTATAAGATTTTATTTACAAATTACAAATAAGATTTTATAATTAGAACTGTTAATTACCGTAGGTGGTATATAGCAATCACTATTAAGTAGTTGAAAATATATAATTGAAGATTTCTAATTGGGTTTCCATAATTTTTAGAGATTTTGAAGGAGAGAGTTTCTCCGACCACACGCCCCTTTTGGGAAGATTCGATGTAAATGTTGTGAATCTGTGTGCATAGCATCCGAGCTTTGGTCTGCTTGATCTTTTTCTTGCATGATAATACACTCCAGTTCGATTCTAATTATAAAATTTTATTTGTAATTTTTAAATTAAACCAGGTTTTATAATTAGGGTAGTATTTAGCTTGTTGAAAAAGACATAAAAACGGAGATAAAATAAAAAATAATATTTGCACAAGATTTAATATAAATGTTTTTTTACCTCAAATATAAATTATATTATTCATCATTCATTGCTTATGATGAATAAAGATTTTTTTTTTTACCAGCAAAAGATATTTTTCCCGTTCATGTATATGATATTTTACAAATATATAGATATTACCAAATTCACCTTTAATAAAGTCACATACGTTTATTATAATGAATAAAAAAACTTGATAAAAAATTATAAGACAGTATATAACTCTCTTTAATACCATAGAGAGGGTTGATTTGAAATCCAATTCAAAGCATAAATGGTTTACATCATGTAGCTAGGCTGTAAGGTGATCTTTTTTTTTTTTTTTTAAAGACATATGGCGTATGGGTAAATTACTTCAGAATTTAAGATATACTGCCTCTTGATTTAATATGAGTTAATTTAACATTTAATTTGATCCTAGATATAAAAGTTAATCGATTTTGTCTCACATATTTATTTATTTTTTTAAGCTAGTTTTTGTAGTAGTGATTGCATATATTAGATGTTTTATCAAATGGTAATACATATAATTATCAAAAAAATTTTAAAAAAGACAACATCTATTTATTATAAATAAATAATTTAATTAATTTTTTTAATCTAATAAAACTAGTTAATTAACTATTATATTAAAGATATGAGGTATATATTTGGCAAAAAATTTCCTTTGGTGGCACGTGGACTGCAGCTCATGTGAGCAACAGCAACGTAACAATGCCACGAGAGGAAGGGGAAAAAAAATCATATCCGTTATCCAATTCACCCTGCCACGTGTATAATGCTCGTTGGAGAAGCAGATACAATCCTCATCTGGAGCTCCCAACGTGGCCCACCTCTCTTCATTTTCCACCATGAGTTCGCTTCCGATGTTCCTGCATGAAATCACAAGTAGTGGCTTATCTTCTTTCCATATCTTTCTTCCTTGGCTTATTGGTTCCTCAGCCCATAGATATCATCTTCTCAACTCCCTAACCCTTTGCCACATTCTAAAAATACACCTCAAATCTCTCTCTCTCTTTCCCTCCCTTTCTCCCTCTCCTTCTGTCTCCCTCTCTGATAATGGCGACACAAGCTTTGGTATCTTCATCGTCTCTCACCTCGTCGGTGCAGGCTGCGAGGCAGATTCTGGGAGGGAGATCAACCCAGTATCCAACTGGGTCATCTAGAAAGACTTCTTTTGTAGTGAAGGCATCTTCTACACCTCCTGTCAAGGTCTATACGATGTCTCTCACTTTCTTGCTCTCTATGTGTTTGCTTTTATGCGTGTGTGATTAGTTTTGAAATATATATTTTTATATATGTGTGTGTGTGTGTTGCTGGATATTGAAACGGCCTTCTCTTTTGTTGTGGTGGTTTGTTTTTTTTTGTGTTCAGCAAGGAGCTGATAGACCCTTGTGGTTTGCATCCAAACAGAGTCTTTCCTACTTGGATGGCAGGTAAAAACTTCATGCCAGTGTCTGAAATTTTTTCAATTGATATTTTCTGAGGGCAAAAGGCCTAATAATAAGAATTTGAGTTTTGCTTTTTGCTATTGGTAAAAGAAACATTAGAAATGGATAACAGGTAACTAGCTGAGTTATTAAGAGATTACTTGACCTCAGCACATAAACATATAAGTTCGGATCTCCCACATATATGAACAAGTAAGAGGAGAACTGATGATGTGGATCCACCACACACATTCATGATTCAACTTGACATTATGCTATGTCTATTAATTATGTGTTAAGAAGAGTTGACATAAGAACAAGACGGAACAAAACAAGTATTTCTGGCCTAAGGACTGAACTCTGCTAGATTAAACTTGGATAAAATATATCCTCAGAGAATTAAAAAACTAGTTTCACAGTAGACATGGCTGAAGTTGTTGGAATTGACTTGACTTTAATGGGCATGTATCAATTTCAGTCTTCCAGGTGACTTTGGATTTGACCCACTGGGACTCTCAGACCCAGAAGGACCTGGAGGGTTCATTGAACCCAGATGGCTAGCTTATGGTGAAATCATCAACGGACGTTTTGCAATGTTGGGAGCAGCAGGAGCCATAGCACCTGAAATTCTAGGCAAGGCTGGTCTAATCCCTGAGGAGACAGCACTTCCATGGTTCAAAACTGGAGTGATCCCGCCTGCTGGAACCTACAACTACTGGGCTGATCCGTACACCCTCTTTGTGTTAGAAATGGCTCTAATGGGCTTTGCAGAGCACAGGAGATTCCAAGATTGGGCCAAGCCTGGGTCCATGGGGAAGCAGTACTTCTTGGGCCTGAGAAGGGCTTAGGAGGATCTGGTGACCCCGCGTACCCTGGAGGCCCATTCTTTAACCCCTTGGCTTTGGGAAGGATGAGAAGTCAATGAAGGATTTGAAGCTGAAAGAAGTGAAGAATGGGAGGTTGGCTATGTTGGCTATCTTGGGATACTTTGTACAAGGTCTTGTGACTGGTGTTGGACCCTACCAGAACCTTCTGGATCATTTGGCTGATCCTGTGCACAACAATGTCTTGACCAGCCTCAAGTTCCACTAAATATGTGTATTATATGTTATAAATATTCTCTTCTGGATCATTTGTATCTTTCTTCACTCTTTTGGGACATAATGTGAACATCCTGTAATTCTCTTCTTCATCTTGTAGTGGCTCGTGGGAGAAGAACATGATAACAAGTGGGAATATTTTTGACTACTTACTGCAACTTTTTTCTGTTTGCAGCATCCCTGTCACTAAGCCTCCTTTATATCCTTACTTTGGCCTACTTGGCTAGCTATAGAGAAGACTAGATTATCATGGAGTGTTTTATAGGGAAAAATAGAGGGAAAACAAAGGTATCATGGACTTCGTCTCCATGAATTAAGATGTCCTATTTCTTAAAAACGAACTTAGCTTTTTTCTATATCTTTCTTCTCCACTTCCCGCGTCAGCCCTTCAATCAAATTTTAAATAGCTAAGATTTAACATCGTACAAAATTACTATTAAGATGTGAGATTTTGAAAATGAATAAATAAATTAAAATTGTGAAAAGTTAATCTAAATAGTCCAAAACTATAATTAAGAAAGAAATAAAAAAGTTATTTTATAAAATGTTAAATCCTAACCATTCAAAATTTGATCCAATAGGTAAGAATTTGGATGCTATCTACTAATATCTCCTAATTTTCTTTGGTCAAAATAATATTTCCTAATTTAAGGCAACAAATAAAGTAACCAATTTGTTTGAAATTCTATGGCTGCTAAGTTTTTATATTGTAGTGATTTTACAGTTTTTGACTATCATAATGGTTTTTTTTACGACTCAGAATATTCTTAAATTATATTGAATTTGAGATTAATTTTAATCGGGTCGGGAGCGTTGAAATTAAAACCTCCCAATAAATGTGTTTTTGAAGATTTAAACTTATATTCTTTTCTTTACGGGATAAAATTGCTTATAATCTCAATTAATAGCTTGTTGGATTATAATAGTTCATTGAGTGGCTTAATGTTATGAATAAATTTATACGTTTCGTGTATCCAAAAATTGTTTTTTTATATGTTTCAATCATATATAAGCTTCTAGAGAATATGTGTTTTTAGTACTACTCGTTTTATTGGAGACATCAAAAACACAACAAAGATTATTAGCTTCCAAATTTTGGGAAATATTTATCTGATCGTTGTCAAATCATCGTCATGATCATTGCAATTTTTCGGGACCATTTGTCTTTTAGTTATTGTCTTCTCACATGGGCTCAGGCCTCACTTCACTCCTCGGCGGTGGTGATATGTTTATTATTTAGATGAAATGACACTTACGTCCCAACAAATTAATTTAATGAATCCACATTTGCACCTCATTTTTCCAATAATTTTTATCTAATTATTATTAAATAAATCTCTCGGCACCTAATTATCATTCTCCCCATCATTCATTATTTTCAAGATTAATTTGATCTGCTTTGACATCATGAGAACGGAAATGAGTAACTTATGATGCTAATGAAAGATAATAACTATGCAAAATTAGCTTGTCCTTTTTTAATTTTCATGTGGCAAAAATTTAACTTTGGCTAGACGTTATATTTTCTGAAAATATTTTTTGTATTATTTGTATCAGACGTGGCGAATTTTATAGAATTTTTATCATAAACAATAAAAAAATTCTTAGTTATTTTTTTGGTACAATAGTCAATTTTTTTCCTCTAAGCATAATACTGAATATTAAATGTGTGAACTTCTTCTAGTGTGAAATTAATTTTGGTTCGTTAAGTTGTAATGAACTAGTTCCTTTTGACAGGTTCAACCACTATTAGCAATAGTCAATATTTTTTTTTACTAAGCATAAATATCTTTTTATTAGAATTAATTTATTTAAGTTATTAGTCGAGTATAGAAATTGATATTAAGTTCAGGTCAAAAAAATAAATAGAAATTGGTACTAAGTAACCAGAATTAACCACACTAAATAATGGGCCTGTAATTTTTGAACGATGGTGGGCCGGCACTTTTATTTCAAAATGATCGATTCTCTCTCGTCTCGTGTGACCCAACAATATCGTGTTCTTCGCATTTCTCTATTTCCATTTCTTCGCTCCCCGACGATCTGGCGCGTTGAGATCTCTCTCGGCAGAATCCTTGGTGAGTCACCTCTTCTTCCTCTCGTACCCCCTCCTCTCAAATTACTGAAGCTTATGATTTTTCACATTATGTTTGTGGATAGACGAGAGCATAGCCAGATCTCGTGGTTTATTGTTTCTTCTTTTTCTTATTCTTGTACTAGGTCGTCTTTTTTTCCTTCTTTCCCATTTTCCTTTTCTCGTTCTTTGTATCAGAAGAATTGCAGAAAGAAGCTGATCTTTATTAACGTATGGTGGTTAAGTTCTTTATTCTCAGATTTCGAGGAAGATGTTGTATTTGTAGTTTGATGTGGATTTAATTGCCTTTTTTCTTTCTTTTCTGTGATTGTTTTGAATGTGAGTTTATTTGTTTTCGTTGCTTCTGTTTTCTGTAGATGAATTGATTATTAGTCGTAATTGTTCTTATTCTTCTGGCTCGGGTTAATTACTGCTATTCCTGTAGTTGTTTCTCTCCTGGTACATCCCCTGAATAAGCTCTGTAATCTACTTTGGGGTAGTTCGTTGGCCGATCTAGGAAGCCATTTCGTTACTTCTGCCTGAGAAATATTGGATCTGATGTGAAAACTTTGCATCTGTTTGCATTCTTCTAGATAGAGTTTTGCAGTCTAAGATCAAAATTTTATTCTTCTGTAGATTCAGTTTTGAATGCATCAGTCGAGTTAGCTGATTCACAGGAAAAGTATCTGCTGTTATTTCGTTCAATCAAATGGAGTTACCTTCCCCAAGGAAAATCTGGATCAACCGGGTTTTCCTGTCTATCATTGTCTTCTCCCAATTTAGCAATGCTTTTTATCTTCCTGGAAGCTACATGCACACTTATTCCAATGGAGATCCCATATATGCCAAAGTTAATTCATTGACTTCTATTGAAACTGAGCTTCCGTTCAGCTACTACAGTCTCCCGTACTGTAAGCCCCATGGTGGCGTAAAGAAAAGTGCTGAGAATCTTGGAGAACTTCTTATGGGAGATCAGATTGATAACTCACCCTATCGTTTCAGAATGAATACCAATGAGACAGTCTACCTATGTACTACTCCTTCGTTAAATGAGCATGAGGTAAAGCTGTTGAAACAAAGAACACGGGATCTATACCAGGTAAATATGATCCTTGATAACTTACCAGTTATGAGGTTTGCTAATCAAAATGGGGTTAAGATTCAGTGGACAGGGTTTCCAGTTGGGTATACTCCACCTGATGGTGGGGCGGACTACATCATTAACCATCTCAAATTCACAGTCTTGGTTCATGAATATGAAGGTAGTGGTGTTCAGATTATTGGAACTGGAGAGGAAGGAATGGGTGTTATCTCTGAAGCTGACAAGAAGAAAGCATCTGGGTATGAAATAGTTGGTTTTCAGGTTGTCCCTTGTAGTATTAAACATGATCCTGAAGCTATGACAAAGTACCACTTGTATGATAATCTCTCCCCAATAAGCTGCCCAGCTGAGATCGACAAGTATCAAATAATTAGGGAGCAGGAGAGGGTATCGTTTACATATGAGGTTGAATTTGTAAAGAGTGATATAAGATGGCCATCACGTTGGGATGCTTATTTGAAGATGGAGGGTGCTCGAGTACACTGGTTCTCAATCCTAAATTCACTGATGGTGATTTTTTTCCTAGCAGGTATTGTTTTTGTCATTTTCTTAAGAACTGTGAGAAGAGACTTGACAAGGTATGAAGAATTGGACAAAGAGGCACAAGCTCAGATGAATGAGGAGCTTTCAGGATGGAAACTTGTTGTGGGTGATGTATTTAGAGAGCCTGATTGCTCAAAGCTTCTCTGTGTGATGGTTGGTAATGGGGTTCAGATTACTGGAATGGCTGCTGTTACTATTGTTTTTGCAGCCCTTGGTTTCATGTCACCTGCTTCCCGAGGGATGCTTCTGACGGGGATGATAATTCTATATCTTTTCCTGGGCATTGCTTCTGGTTATGTCGGTGTACGTCTCTGGAGAACCATTAAGGGAACTCCAGAAGGATGGAGGTCAATTTCCTGGCTTGCAGCATGCTTTTTCCCCGGAATTGCGTTTGTCATATTAACAGTGTTGAATTTTATTCTCTGGGGCAGCAACAGTACTGGTGCTCTTCCCATTTCCTTATACTTTGAACTGTTCTTCCTTTGGTTCTGTATTTCAGTGCCACTTACCCTTGTTGGTGGATTTATGGGGACAAGAGCTCATCCAATTGAATATCCTGTGCGAACTAATCAGATTCCAAGGGAAATTCCGGCACGCAAATACCCATCATGGCTTCTTGTTCTCGGTGCAGGAACCCTTCCATTTGGAACCCTATTCATTGAGCTCTTCTTCATCCTTTCCAGTATTTGGCTTGGGAGGTTCTACTATGTATTTGGCTTTCTGTTGGTAGTTCTTCTACTGCTGGTCATTGTTTGTGCTGAAGTGTCCGTGGTTCTCACCTATATGCATCTTTGTGTGGAAGATTGGCGGTGGTGGTGGAAGGCATTCTACGCTTCAGGCTCTGTTGCCCTTTATGTCTTCTTGTACTCTATCAATTATTTGGTTTTCGACCTTCAGAGTCTGAGTGGACCTGTCTCAGCTGCCCTCTACCTTGGCTATTCACTGCTCATGGCAATTGCAATCATGTTATCAACCGGTGCCATTGGCTTCCTAATGTCATTTTACTTTGTGCACTACTTGTTCTCCTCAGTAAAGATAGATTAAGGTTCTGTTGCCATCAATCATCAACTAAGCAAAAGGGGGTCTGGCACGCAGGAAGAGGAAAATCTATGTAACTTTTGCTGAGTTTTGTTTCTTGATTCTATAACAGCGTATTGCTATCCTTTGCCTTGGTAGTTGTCAACTGATTTTATTTCGCCATGTGATATGCAATTTGTTCCCCACCCTGCCTTTTCCCCTCTTTAGTGGTTTTGTAGTTTGCTCAATTGTCTAGTGCTTGAGCTCCTTTTTTCTTAGCGTGTTTAATCAAATTGCCCTTGAAAGTTATAATTGCTCAGACTGTCATCCCCCTTATTTATCCAAGTACTTTAGAGTAATGATAGTTGGATACTTCTAGATTTCTGTTCGGTTTCCACTTGTGTTTCTAGGTGTTTTTAATATTTTATTGTTCTTTGCATCATATCACAGTGGAAAGGGATCTACTTTTCCGATTATTAACTGCGTTCTGTGGACCCTAACTGCTCATCGACTATTAGCATGTTATGCATATACTGCTACTAAATATGGATACGAAATCTGAGAAATAGCTCTATGGCTTTAAATAGTGTAGTTCGGTGTAGATTTGATTTATATTGATGATTATGGCCAACTTTTTGCTCCTACCCTCCGCCACCAAAAAAAAAAAGGAAGAAAAGAAAAATGAAAAACACAATTAGGGATATGATGACCCTAAAATGTCTTTATTTTTGTCTTTACAAGCTTGCATATAACTATATATTGGCCAATATTTTATCTCCTAGCGGATCTTCCTTGATGATATGTGTATAATGTTGAATTAAAGCGCTTATGTTGTCTTTGAGAAAACGGTTTATTTTGACCACATTTATCTTGAACGAATTTATGAGAAGCCCAGCTGTGGATGACCGTTATGGCCATTTGGGCTTTATGGTGTCAAAACTTTAGAAGTAAATTTGGGCTTTTGATATAATTATTTAGTTTGACTATATGAGTATTTAGATGGAAACCAAATTATGATTTTAAAAGTGTTTGTACAGTTTATAAAATAAATATATAGAAGAGTTTATATCGTTTTACGGAAAAGTATTTCTTAGAAGTACTTTTAAGAGTTGCCAAACGCTTCTTATGTCCCAGTCAGAAAATTTTGAAAACAAAATTTGTGGGCGTCACTTGGGTTATATGGAACCAAATCAAATCATTAATGAAATAATGTAATTTATTTTTTGAACTATCAGCTCCTACTTTAGGAGTACACATGAATAATCGAAAATGTTATATTTTAATTCAATTTTACATTTTATTAACCATTCTTCAAGTAATTTTTATTGAGTATTTTAGCTAAAAATTAAAACTTAACGAGACGAAAAGTTTGTAAAATATCAATAAAATTTATGAGGAATTCAGGTAAATGACTCGATTTATAAATGAATCAAGTAAAATAAAAAATTGCAAAATGAAATTAATAAACTGGGCATTGGTGTTCAATGGCACTTCTTTAGGGCTGAAGAGATATATATCCCCAGCTGAGGAATGCAGAGATGGACTTGAAAATGGCTTCCAACTTAAGAAGCTAATTTTTCGCGACCTTCTATATGAACAAAATTATTATTTATTTGTTACACTTATATGCAGAAAGAATATGTTTGATTTCTGAGAATAAGAAAGAAAAGAATACTATGAAGCAGATGTACAAAGGAAATATGAAAGGAATTGCTAGACATAGAAGAAAGCGGATGGATCAGACGCATTTGTGGTATCTTTGGAAAGAATGGATCGAGCTTCTATCACTGAACGAGGAGTTTCGAGATCCTTCTCTTGCAGTGCATTTCCTCGCAAGCGTTGCATTTGGGAAGCAAAGGTGTCATCCAATATCTGCTCAGTCAGACAATGAAATAAATGTTTTGATATTCACTTAATTTGGATATTTAAAAAAAAGAAAAAGAAAAAAAAAGATATATCTACTCATTTGGAGTTACAGGAGACAAGTAAATTTTTAAACCGAATTTATAAAGGTTTAATGAGTATCATAGTTGAAATTCTCCTCTTTTTGTTAATGATAAATACTTTAAATAATTTTAAAAAATACTGTTATTCTAGGTGGATCTTGCTGTTTATTTTTCATTTATCAATAGTCAAAACGATGTCATCTGGAAGAAAGAGAGAAGGCACTACTACTTTCTGTTTTATAAATCATAAACACTCCCCTAACGTAGGTGCTTTTTAACAATCGATATGTTTTTAATTGAAAAAGCTATCATCAGATATAACTAAAACGGTAGTGTTAAGCAATATTTGTGTATCTGCTGCCCTTGAACTGTTGATGGATATATGGTTGCAAATGGAGACTAGCAAACTTAAGCGCACACAGGTTGACTTGAAAAACTTACCCCAAGAGCATAGTAAGATCCATTGTACCATATCCTGTTCTCTTTCCTTCCTTCTAAAAATTTCAAAACAATCTGACACAAATAAACAGAAAAAAGAAATTAGAGTTGTCAAGTATTTAAGATTTTCAAGGTAAAAAAAAAAAAGTATTTAAGATTTAGGGCAAATCATATTGATATGATACAATATACAACAGAACTCTTCACCTGTCCCATTCTATCCCATAATCCACGGCATGTTGCAATGAAAATCTGACTGCTAAAGACCTCATGCAGGTTGGAGATTGAATCAATGAGTTGCGCATTCAGCGATTGCATTCTCTCACGGATTTCGGCCTCCCCATCTTGTTCTGTTGTTTCCTCCAAAATTCTTTTCAGTCTTGTGCTTCGGTTAGCTTGCATCTAACCAAATAAAAAGTCTTACATATTTAGTCACAACAGCTTCACTTGTTGCTCTGTTTCAAACTAGTGTGACTTTAACAGCTTTAGTGTTAAATCGTGCCAATGAATGGTTAGTTCATGTGACAATACATCCAATTGTAGATGCTTCGCTCATGTCACGGTTAGATAATCATCTAATGACAACTTTGTTTTTACACTAAGTGCAACATTACATTTGTTGATCATTGATAGAGACTTGGTAATATGGGATACCAAGTCCCACATTGGGCAGAACAGAATGTTCAATGAGATGTTTAAGTTGTTTGGTTCTCCCGCACTAAGTGCAATGTTACATTTTGGAGACGTGGTAGTATGATATGCCAAGTCCTACATTGAGTAGAATAGATGTTTAATGGGATATTTAGGTGGATTGATTCTCCCACATCAATTGCTAGCTTTTAGGGTAGGTTTTTTCATCCCACTTAGGTACCTGTTAATTGGCATCAGAACCAAGTTGTTGACGGTTATGGAGGGAGGGTTTTGACTGGCAGGCGGCTGAGTGAACTGCATTGATGTGCAGATGATGGGACGTAGGCTTTCCATGGGCAGCAAATTCCTATCAATTGGCATCAGAACCAGGTTGGTGAAGGTTTTGGAAAGGGCTATCTATGGAGGATTTTGACTGGCAGGAGGCTGAGTGAACTGTACTAAAGCGCAAATGCTAGGACGTAAGCTTTCCTATCAACTGGCATCCGAACCATGTTGTTGATGGTTTTGGAGAGAGCTGCCTATGGAACGTTTTGACTGGGAGGAGACTAAGCAAATTGCACTAAAGTACAAATGCTATAGCGTTCCATGGGTAGCCAATTGATAGAGACTTGGTAGTATAGGATATCAAGTTCCACGTTAAATAGAATGAGATGTTTAATAAGGTATTTAAGTGGGTTAGTTCTCCCACCTCAACAACTAGATTTTGGGATAGGGTCCCTATCCTACTTAGGTACCTA